AAGTTCTTTTTCTTTGCTCAAAAGGCGGAAGAAGTATCAATATATCTTGTAGAGTGTATAATCAACACATCGTCAGCCAAGTCACAGATTAAAATAAAAGCTGATGACCAAAGTTCATCCCAGGCATTCTCAACATTATTCCAATCAGCGTTGTCCAAATTTGGTTTGCCTTGAAAATTTATGATGCATCCCTCTGGGCCGTGGAGTACGTCATGAAATTTTGAAGTCCTGACTTGAATATATACAGAGATGGAGATAGATATTGGCTCCACGCCCCTCCCCCTTCCAAAAAAAGTTAAAATTTCAGATCAGTGTATAACAGAAAATGCTGAGGGATTCCATTGACTAAAAGATTTTGTAGTTATTTTGTGTCCAATCCAACGTGATGATCAGATATTCAGTTGTAGAAAACCTGAGTTTGGGTTGTAATTTGTAGAGGTTTTATGTTGATTTTCTGATGTTTATTGAAGCGTTCATTGTGTTCTGTGGCATTGGTATTGATTAGTGAATTGTTTTTGCCTGATTGGTGCTGGGATATGAAATTGTACCCTTTATCAATTGAATGCTTTATCTATAATGATGCGGATGGCAATAGTGGTGCTGCTTCTTAGTTCGCATTTGGTGATTTTAGGTGAGAGAGGGTCCTTCATTTTTATTTATTTATATAAAAATAAAATAAAATTATGGTCTTCTTAATGTTGTGCCATTTCTTCTTCTTTTTGTAATTTTGATAACCTTGTTTCCGTCTAAAAGAATTGCGCATGACACCTGTTCAATGAGAATGTGACGTTCAGTGGATATTAAATTTAAACTATTAGATGAAAATGAAAATTTGAGTTTAACTCTTCACCGGCTATATGAAAGTACTTCTCCCTGCCGAGGGAGATGCAGCCGAAAATTAAGAGCTGTAAATATTTGGAGATTCTAAACAGAAAGTCATGATTTCACAAAAAAGTAACCCTCTTATTTTCAATTATAATTATCAAAATAACAAAATTCAACGTCTAGATAAGGGTCATAAGCACCTTTTTATAGACAAATTATAACACCCTTTTATAAACTAATTACAAATTGATTTAAAATTCTAAATCTAAAATTCTAAAAATAATAAAACTTCCTAAAATAAATATAACAGTAATTAACATCTAAAAATAAATAAAAATTACAAATAAATAATTCAAAATACATCTCAAATCTTTAATCTCAAATCACGTCATATATGTTGCTTTCCTTTTCTTCGCAAACAAATCACAATCACATCTGCTGCTTTACTGAGACTTGGATTCGATTCTAATTTGTTATATTTTAAATCATTGCCTCTTTCAACAATTAGACCATACTTATTAGGCCATAATTCTAGTTGACTATGAGTTTCTTGAATCAATGGTTGAACCATATACAATGGGTCAACTATAAGTGCATCATTCTCCCGTGCTAGGAAAAGATTCGTTCTCGAATCTTGTTTATCTCCATTGATCTCAATTTCTTTAGACAAAAATTCAAATGATAAATCTTCCTCTATTAGATCTTCATAATCTGATTCACCATCAGATTTATTATAGACTGGATTATCATCATAAACTGAATCTTCATCATAAGATGGATAATCATCATAAATGGGATAATTATCAACAATCGGATAATCATCATAAATTGGATTATCATCATAAATCGGATCATCATCACAAACTGGATTATGATCATAGACTTCAAAGTCAGGAATGCTGATTTGCATCTCGATATCTTGAAAATTGGACTGATTTTCAGGTCGTACTTCCCAATTCTGTCTCTGGTTTAGAATCTGCAAGGGATTGATGTCCTCTTCTTCATCATCAGATGCGCCATCTAATTCCATTCCTTCTTCGGATTGAATGCACAACTTTGTTCACGCAAGTCGCCGCTCCAAATATTGGATTTCCATGCTCTGCACCTCCACAAGAGTTTACTTCAAAATTTGAATTTTCATGCATACCCGCAGGAGTCGTCGCTCCAAATCTTGAATTCTCTTTCTCAGTGCCCGCACACATAGTCGCTTCAAAACTTGGTTTTTCTTGTCCAACGCTTGCTCAAGTTGTTGCTTCAAATCCTGGATCCGCTTTCCGAGCTCTTCATTTTCTATAATTCGCAGGTCAATCTAATGCAGTTGTCTATATTCTTCAGGAACGAATCCACGTTTCCTACTCTCGTGACTCTGCTGTTGTCGACCTCCATGATTCTGTTCAGCCATTGGTTGAAGGCAACCTAGTGCTCTGATACCAAATGATGCCGAAGCAGTAACCAATTGGCTCAACAGAAATAAGAACGAACACAAGGATTGCGAGAAAATACTATTCTCTTTTCTTAAATTTATTTAACCAAAAACAATAACAATAGGGTTCTCCAAGCCTTAAATAGGCAAAATAAAAATAACAAAAAAGTAAAGAACTATAATCATGCGTAATCAAAGTAGATAACACACAATCAACACACACTCAAATGTAATCTAAAAAATAACAAAAAGGAAAATAATTAGCAATTATTAAAAAGTCGTAAACTATGAAATAAATTATAGAAAAGCCCAATCCAAACAATGAGGAATTGATTCATAATAATAAAAGAAAGATTCATTTGTTTAAAAGTGATTACATTCAAAATTTTGAATGTTAACTTTTTTTGTGGTTTTTTTTAGGGATGTTCTATCCATTATATGAAACATTTAAAAGGGACATGACTCCACACCAAAAAAATAAAAAAAGGGACATGACACATGAATATTCTTTATGTCTTCATAATGAACCTAAACTTCGTTTATTTATTGCTAATGCCCAAAAATTTTATATCAGATTAATTAACAAGTAAAATATGGGTAAAATTGGCAAGTTAGTTCAATTACTAACGAAGTTAAAGGTGAACTTGAATGGAATAAAATAATAGGAATAATTGCTAGGGGAAAGATATTGTAACAACCAAGTTGTGTTACTACCATGTTACTACCAATCAATCTCACCGTTAGATCGATTATGTGGATCCAACGGTTATATTTATTTTCATCTTTGTATGGTTATGATTCCCCATATTTAAAGTGAAAGCATTAAATATGAGAAATCATAACTATACAAAGGTAAAAATAAATATAAAGTATTAAATTTAAGAAGTCATGACCATATAAAGATGGAAATAAATATAACTTTTATTTTTGTATGGTTATGATTCCCCATATTTAAAGTGGAAGCATTAAATATGGAAAATTATAACTATACAAAGGTAAAAATAAATATAAAGTATTAAATTTGAGAAATCATGACCATATAAAGATGGAAATAAATATAATCGTTGGATCAACATAATTGATTTAACGGTGAGATTGATTGGTAGTAATTTGGTAGTAAGACAACTTGGTTGTTACAATATCCTTCCCCTAATTGCTAAGGAAAAAAATATAGGGATATAAGTGATAAAAGAGTAAATTATAAGGGGGCATTTGGTTGAGGAGAAATTTTTTGAATATTAGGGAAATGTAATTGACAGGGAAATAGTTGGAAAGTGAGTTTGATAGGAAAATATAAAAAAAATTGTTTGGTTTGAAAAAATTTAACCGGACAAATTAGGTAAGATTTATAAAGTCTATGTTGGTTTGAGGTAAAACATAGATGGAGAAATAAGTTGCAATTACGAAAATGTCCATATTTTTAAAATAACTGTAAATTACGAAAATGTCCCTCTTCTTAACAATGAATAGTAGCATCCTTGTGTCTTGTTTGCCATTTTTTTTAATTCCTGTTGTTATAAAAAAATAAAAAATAGAGGACCAGGCCACGGAGGGGGCAGAGAGCACAGCTCTCAAAGGAGGCTTTAGAAGTAGATATTATAATGTGTATGATTTGATTAATATATTTTGAGTAGGATCCATTTGCATAAAGCCCAACCTTTTATCCCCTCAGCCATTTGCATAAGCTCCAACTGCACAATCGAATCTGAAGCACGATAATATCATAGCATCTCTCGTACAAGTTATCAGAGCGGTATAATGGTCTGATTTGTTGTGGAGCCACGTGGTTTACCCAGCTATCTATATAAAACCACCTCTCACAATGCTTTCTAAACAGAGTGCCAAAGTCTAGTATTCTTTCACAAAATTGAAAATGTTATGCATCATGGTTGCATGGGGAATCAATCATTTCTCTGTGTACTAAACAAGTGCAAAGCAGATTGCCAACTTCATTTGCATAGAATAATTTGAAAAAACCCTCAACCAAACACTACCAGGTGATTTATGAATTTTTCCCTAGTTAATTTATGTGAGATAACTCCTTTTTTATGTTTTTTTACACTTTATTAATTACTGATTAAACTAAGTCAACTCTCCTTCTAAAGGTTTTTAACACAAGGGTTCTCTTTTTTAAGTAAATAAAATAAGAAAAATGTATTTATCAGGACACAACTCTGTGTTATTTTAGATAAAATAACTATATTTTAATGCATATTTAATCATTTTTTATATTCTCTCCTTCATAAGATTTGAGAAAGATAGAAAGAGCTAATATTACAAAGGAGAGAAGATAAAAATCAGAAAGTATACATCTTAAAATGATATAAATTTTTTACCAAATATATATATATAAACATTTTATAAAATAAAATATTATTTTTATCTAGAATATCTATCTATATGCTCCCTTTCTCAGCGGCGGTCACTTCTGCGATAGCATTTAACGTGGTCAAAATTTATCATATCCGACGTGGCAAATTTGGTTCGTTAACCGGAGGCAAAGCTGCAGTTTAACCGAAACTGAATTGATTTGATTCAATTCTTACAAAACCGAATTGAATCGTGACATGGCAGTGGCAATTCACAGCTTGCCACGTTGGCAAAGACCGGTCTACTCTCTCCTCTCATTGGCAGAGTAACACAACTGTTCCCTCTTATTAACGCCTTTCTTTAACCCTCTCTCTTTCACTGTTCCGGTTAAAAGTTAAAACTTTAAACCCTAACCCTTTTAATTTTTTTTTTACCAAACCAAATTCTTTCTTTCTTTCTTTCTGCCTCGGCCTCTCTCATCTGCTTCTCGGATTGTGTTGTGGCCAACCGTTCCTGCAATTTTCTTTTACCATTGGAGGTTTCTTTCTTTCCCTTAAGAAAATCATTTCGAATTTGATCAATTATGCGTTTTTGATTTCTGAAATTCTTGCCGTTTCTGGATCGCAGTGGAGGCAATTCTTGCAACGTTTGAGTTCAGTAGATCCATAATTTTTGACACACATCAGAAAGAGTTTAAGGAAAATGAAGAACACGGAGCGAATTGCGAATTTGGCTTTAGCAGGTTTGCTTCTTGGTTAATTTCATCAAGCTTTCTTGCTTCAGTTGATACTCTCATTTAGCCATCGTTTCTCAAGTTTAGGTTTTTTTTTTTTTTTTTTTTTTAATGCCCAATTACAAGTAAACTTCTGCGGACATTGAAACTTACTATGGGATTCATACTGAGCCTTCGAGCACTATATTCTCTCATTTTACAGATTTAAATTAAGGGCCTGGAATAGTAATGTGTTAAACTGCATGCTCAAACAGAGAATGATACAATGTTTTTTAAATTTGGTTCTCAAATCTTGCACCGTAGTGTGTTTTGGAGTTTCCATGGATCTAATAGTGTATGAGTGAGAGGGAAAGTGGGTCCATATCTGTTCCTTGATCACTCAATATGAACGACGGCATTTTATTTGTCATGGCAGGTTTAACCTTAGCACCGCTTGTTGTGAAAGTAGATCCAAATTTAAATGTTATTTTGACTGCTTGCCTCACAGTATTTGTGGGCTGTTACCGTTCCGTCAAACCAACCCCACCTACTGTAAGTAGTAACTCTGCTCATTCTCTTCCTTTATATCGAACTTTTCATGGCTTGAGATCTGATTTTTCTGATACATGTTGCATATAATAATGCAGGAGACAATGTCCAATGAACATGCCATGCGTTTTCCCTTTGTTGGGAGTGCAATGTTATTATCACTTTTCTTACTCTTCAAGTTTCTTTCTAAGGACTTGGTGAACACTGTATTGACAGGCTACTTCTTTGTACTCGGGATTGTTGCACTTTCGTATGCTCTTTTCTTTGTGTCCAATGTACTTGCTATGTATTCAATACAATCTTTTTTGAGATATTTGCTATTTTATCACACTTTTTCTTCCACTGTCTACAGGGCAACTTTATTACCATCTATTAAACGTTTTCTGCCAAAGCATTGGAATGAGGACGTCATAATCTGGCGTTTTCCATATTTGCGTTGTATGTGACACTCGGCCTCCTTATTTTTCCTTACTATTGCTGACAATAATCTTTCTTTGAACTGTGGTATCAAAACTTAGAAGTTATATGCTTCGACTTTTCATTTAACTAGTCAATGATGACTGTCTTTGGTTATTATTACTTCTGTTAACTGCCACTGGTTTTGCGATTACCAAATGAATGTCAAAATGTTTGAGAGTTCTTTACCAAATGTAAGTTTTAGCCCTCCATTTAGTGATATTAATATCTAACAGTTGGTCATGGTGTATATGTATCAAGACATCCCATTTCCCATGGTGCATCTGTGCTTCATAGGCTGTACCTAGCTACCTATGTCCTTAAGTGTATTTCAGTAGTAGTTTCATGTTCTGAACTTTTCTTGCATTTTTATGAATTTGAACTCAATTCTGCCCTTAGTGAGCATGACACTTTTGGCTCATGGGAACTGCATGATTTGATGCTTTTACTTTTCAACAGTGCTATTTTTTTATGAAACTTTATTTCATGAAAAGCACAAGTGACATGTTATGTTGGTTTTTATACTCTTCCTGCATCAGATACATGGCAGGTTGAATGATTATTCATAAAATGCAAATGGTATAGTTTCTTTCTTGAATGCATGTGTCATTTCACTCGGACAATTTGTGGAATTCAGTAATTTCCTTTACTTTTTAATGCAACTTGCACAACTTTAATATCTTGTAGGTTCTACTTGCATTGTTAAATGGATTTTGAACTATTTTCTAGAGAAAGGATAAAAAATTTAACCAATTTAAACACTCAATAATGCTAAATGCATTCATACCTCATGGATCCCGCTTGTGTCATAATATTTGAAAGGGGAGTCTTTTTCTGATCATCTTAAAAATGTTTGACTGGTTGGTGGTTCTAGCTACAGCTTCTAATTCTATGGTTTAAATTCACTTTTTCAATTCTGTAGGAGAAGTATGATCATCAATGCCTTTGGCTTATTGTTAAGCTTCACTATCTATGTTGTTGATTTTTGAAATACTTTATTTATTATCCTGATATGATTATCCTCTTGTATTAAGGTGTATGTGTTGTTTTGGTACTTTAGGCTGTTTGCACTTGATCTAGTTGAGATTAACCGGCTTCTATCATGCAAAATGATATTTTTCCTTACACCTTTCTTTCACAGCTTTGGAGATTGAATTCACAAGGTCACAGATCGTTGCTGCAATCCCTGGGACTTTTTTTTGTGCCTGGTATGCTTTGCAGAAGCATTGGCTGGCAAATAATATATTGGGTCTTGCTTTCTGTATTCAGGTTTGACACTTTACCTGTGTGTGTGTGTATATATATATATATGAACTGATAGGTACATAACCATTAGGTAACATCCAATTGACTATAAAAAATTGGTACACAGCCTATTGTACCTTAACAACCAAAACCAATTATATTTATGGAATTATGGTACCTGTAAAGAACCAATTCAACCCAAAAGCTTAAGCTAGTGGGTGAGGCTACATTAATGGTTTTATATATCTCAACACGCCCCCTCACACGAGAGCCCACTGGGCTTGAAGGGTGGACAATGCACAGGTCCACATACCTGTGCAAACAAAGAAACTCCACTTGAAAGAAAGTGGGGGGCGGCCAAGATCGAACCCGGGACACGAGGCTCTGATACCATGTAAAGAACCAATTCAACCCAAAAGCTTAAGCTAGTGGGTGAGGCTACATAAATGGGTTTATATATCTCAATAATATCTAATTGACAATAAAAAATTGATTGCATTATTTGAAGTTCAATGGTGATTTTTGGTAGTATAAATACCAATGTACTTTCCTGGTATCTAATTATGCCAATTATAAAGACTGTATATCTTTATGTGTCTGTCAATTATTTTAAGGGTATTGAACCAATTATATTTACTTGCCTATCAACCATTTTTTATTATAATACTCTTGATAAATATAATTGAACCAATTAATTAATTATATTTTTTACATTAATTTTTTTTGTATCCACTTTCCTGATTTGAAGCAATACCTTTTTAGAATTAAGCTTGTTCCTTACAAAATGGGTTTGAAGAAATAAATCAAACCATTCTATCATTTATGCCATGAATATATTTTTATAGGGAAATATTAACCTCATGTGATATAGGAGATAACAAATTTTTCCTACACATTCAAAAAGGTGTGGAGCCCACTTCAATTTTTTTTTTCTCTTTTCCTGTACAGTGGGACCCACATAAGTTTGTGAGTGCAACATGAGAAATTTTATCTCCTGTTGTATAAGAAAATATAATCCCATTTTTATAAGATTGTAAGTCAGTTTTAACTAATAAACAGTAATTGACAACAATGACTCCATCTTTAACATTTACAGGGAATTGAAATGCTCTCTCTTGGATCTTTCAAGACTGGTGCTATTCTCTTGGTAGGTATTTTTTCTATAGTTTTAATTAGTGGTGCTCAAAGCTTCTTTTTTAAAAATACATTTAATTCCAAGATTTAAAACATCTTGTTTTCTAGACCAAATGTCCTTTGGCTGCTGATAAACTAGGGCACTCCTCTTTGTCTCGTTTATTTAAGAAAATTTAGACAAATATTTCCCTTTTTCGGTTTTTAATAAAATACAAAAGGTCTTGAGCTTGATTTACTTGCTCTCTCTTTTAGTTTCTCCAATTCCTTTTGACCTTTTAAATCAAGTGTAAGCTCATAAAAATGCCTCTGATTGCAAAATATGTTTTACTCCATGCAGATATAATTATGTCTTAGTTTCCAAAAGATAAAGTATATGTTTTTCATTGTATCTTTTGTTGAATTTTTCTATTTTCAATATGGTTTTTGAGTCTTTTCCATTGATGTATTTTGCAGGCTGGTCTATTTGTGTATGACATTTTCTGGGTTTTTTTCACTCCTGTGATGGTTAGCGTTGCAAAATCATTTGATGCTCCAATAAAGGTTAAAATCTTAGCTAAATGAAATGGAAATTTCTATTTTTTCATCTTCATTTGAATTTGGATTGGGTACATGCTGTGATAATTATCAGATAAAAAATATAATCAATTTCTTCCTAATATTGTCATTTGAATTGTTTTGCAGCTTTTGTTCCCCACATCAAATTCTGCAAGGCCATTTTCAATGCTTGGGCTTGGTGATATTGTTATCCCTGGTAGGATGACTCTTTGTTGATGTATTGATGTACTTCTTTTGTGAAATTGACCTATATTACTACAGTCTAGTTCTTATTATATATCCGGTATCGAATTTGTTAAGCCGTGTTTGGTAGTTTTTGAGAGAATGGGATGGAATGGAAAGGGACTAAATGATTTTGACTCATGGAAAGAGAGTTTGCATTTCACCCTCCTGTCGTGTCGTGAGTTCAAGTTTGTGGAATGTATAATCCACATGAATTTGCTAGGCCTGGTGTAGGGTGTGGAAAAGCTTGCTTTGACTAGCCCTGTAGGGACTGCAATAAAAAAAAATCACTCCCCGTTATACCCGACTAGCGAGTGTGGGGTGGAGGAAATCTTTGTACGCAGCTTTACCCTTGCATAATTGCAAAGAGGTTGTTTCCTGGATTCGAACTCATGACCTTTCAGTCATGAAGGAACAGTTTTACCACTACTCCGGTTCGCCCCTTTCCTGTAGAGGCTGCAATACTGAAGGAAAATGCTAGGGGAAGGGATGGAATGGAAAAGAGATGGGATCCCTTGTTCCCCCTGTTTTGATGATTAAATGAGGGAAGAAAGAGGAAGGCATGGGTAAAGTTTCACTATAAGCCTTATAACCCGCAATCTTGAAGGGGAACAAAAAGTGAGAGTTTGAGGGGGAATCCCCCCCCACTTCTCTTTTCTCAAATTCTCTTCCCCTCTATAAATTTTTAAACTACCAAACAAGAAGACTCATTCCCTCTTCTACCAATCTGCTTCAATGCCTCTCATTACTCCTCAAGTAACAGACTCTTTAAGCTAAATTTGAAAGTTAACTCATGTGGTGATACAATCTCGCTTCCCCATTATCTAGAGATTCACTGGTCTTTCCTAGTTTTATTCAAGAGGCATTGTTCTTACCCTTATTTTTAACGTTAGGAATAACTGCTTTGTTGAGTTTTGCTCGACTGATCAAATTGTAACATGTCGCAGCAGAGACTGCATTTTGAAGAGGGTTTTGGATATTTTTTTGCATTTATAAATCTAAATGCTAATTTTAAGTTGTCAGTCAGTCGAAAATATATGCAATTTCATGCTTTTGCTGGCAAGTTTATTAATTATTAGTTTGTAGCTTCAAATAAGATTGGCGAATAATTATTCTTCCTAGCTTTATGAGGATCCTTGATGATTTTGATGTGTTGAATGTCAATCTGTATCAGGACAGACTAGTGTTCTTTAAAAAATTTGAAATGTTTATGCCAGTGGTCTATTGATGTATGAGATCCTTGCATATATGAGTAAAATATTTTCTCCACAATAACTTTGTTGTTACTTCTATGTATTTTGACTACATATTTTTTCCCTTCAGGTATTTTTGTAGCATTGGCTTTGCGGTTTGATGTGTCTAGAGGAAAACAGTCCAAGTATTTCAACAGTGCATTTTTAGGATACACTGCTGGCTTGGTCCTTACAATTATTGTGATGAACTGGTTTCAGGCTGCACAGGTGACTGATCTGTGGTTTCATTTTATTATTCTTTTTTGTTATCTTGATATGTTTTGGGGGATGATGTGGGGATTCTTGCCATTAATACCAAATTTACTTCTAATACATGGCTGGATGGGTTTTTGGATATCAACCTTCTCTTTTATAACTTTTTTCCTTTTTTATTGTTATCCCTGTTGCCAGCCTGCTCTTTTGTATATTGTACCTGCTGTAATTGGATTTTTGGCTGCTCATTGCATATGGAATGGTGATGTCAAACAGGTTTGTTTCATTGCTTAATTTTTCCAATTCTATTTTCTCTTATCAATGCAATTCATCCTTTTTTATGCGTCTAGTTTGCTTTCAATCCTTAGTTTTACTGGAGGATAATGTGTTATGTTTTGTATTATATACTATGCAACATGAGACGAGTGTAAACTTGATTTATCTTCAGTGCAAAACTCTCTGCCCCATCAATAAATAATAAAGTCCACATTATTATAATATTGCAGTAAAAGCTTTGGACATTTAAAATAGGAGCCATGAAATAGTTCACTAATAGTGTAATGCATTGAGACTTGAGTCATTGATTATGGACCAAAATTATATCCTATAGAACAGTAATTGACATGATCGTTGGTGCCAATAACAAACAACAGTGTATATTTACTAAATTTACCTTTAACTAGACTGCAGAACCACTGTTTTTTATATTTAAAGGTGCGCTAAGTTCTGAAGTAGCTAAACTAATTTACACATATTTATATTATATGTATCCATGTTTTCAAATTAGCTTATGAAGGGTCTAGCAGTTTAACATGTACTTAAGGAAATAGAAGATATATAGATGTAGAAGATGGGCTTCTGTTAACTACCTTCTTAAAGCAACTTTGCTTGTTGTGACGAGTTCTAAAAGGTCTGTTATTCCATACCAAAAATTTTCTTGCAATGGAATATGACTAAATATATTGGACGTTATTGGAGACATGATTGTCTCAATTTAATAAGGTTACATCCTAAGACTTGAAGATGGTCAGGATTTATGCCTCCCATGTATGCTTGCTAGATGTGGCGTATATAAATTCTAACAACCTTTTACTTTCTATCAACGCAGTTGTTGGAGTTTGATGAGTCAAAAACTGCCAGTTCATCTCAAGAAGATATTAATGCCAAATCTAGCAAAAAGGTTGAATAAACTGAAATGTACCCAATTCCAATAGTTCTGAATCACGGAAGAAATACTGTTATTTTCTGTGATCACCATTACTTTTAAAGCTAACTTATTGAGAAGCACACTTCTGTAACAGATTGTGATTAAAAAAAAAATATTAGTCTTGTTTTTCAGATTAGCATTTTGCTTTTACTTCACTGCCCAATCTCGGTTTCCATAGCAAACTTTCCGAGGATTTTCTTTCTCTCTCTCTCTGTCTCTCACAAACACACATTTGTTTCCGTGCAGTGTTACTGGTTATACTTGTATAATGTTGATATATTTGCAGAGAAGGATTTTTTGGTTTGGTTTTCTGTACTAGCATATAACTGGTCAGTGCTTGTTTATTCTGGTGAAGGACCAACTGATGTTTATTTTTCAAGTTATTTTATTAGCATAATAAAACTTGATTAATGCTTACAGTACTCTAGTGGGACTTTAATTCTATTATAGTTACCTAAAATAATTACATAGTAACTTTAAAAAATTATTCCTACCAAAAGTCCAAAAGTATAAAAAATCAAAATATAATTCTAATTGAATCCTCCAAATTGATATAGCAGCATGTATGTAAAAGATGGATACCGTCAAACACTTTGACGTGATTTCTTTTGTTTAATTGGTTTGGTTTCGTCAATGTATTTGATGGGACTGGCACTTTCAGAATGCTTTCAATGTCCATCACGGGTCTGGATGCCATCACCCTACCTACAGAATCCAACATGGATTAGTAATCCTATAATAATATCTGACTCGATTGGTCCTGTCATTTTTTTTTGTGTTTGATTGCATTAGTCTGACAAAATTTACTAAATATGCTTTTAGTTGAAAAAATTTCACAAAAAATTTCTAGTACGGTGCTTTTACCCCGAAGACTATATAAATTAAATACTGGTACAATCAGTAGCAAATGTTATTAAATGTTTTTTTTTCTTCCGGCAATGACTTGCAACTCAATAATTAGTAGCAATAATTTAGGAGAAGCTTCCGCAGATTATTATAATTATTATTACGTGTACCTCGATGATTCAATAAACGTGTTGGTAAATAGTGGTTGCTCTAGAATTCTCGTCGAACATTGTTGCCACGGATATGAATGTCATCACGTAACCTTTACTTACCTGCATAAATGAAGAAATTAAATAATCAATGGTTGAGAGTTAACAACTCAAAAGTCGTGGTTTAGAACTAGGGTAAAAATTGATTATTAGAAATCCATATGAAAAAATTAGGTTGGGAAAGTCACCTTCAATATGGGTCAAACGTGCTCGACTACAAATCAGTTTGAATAAAAAAATGAATTTATATGAATTTAAATTGGTTACAGATTATTTTTAGGTTGTTTAGATACGAAATTTCAGTTTTGATCTAATTAAAAATTAAATATTGTTTGATAAAACTTGGTAATGTTTAAATTTTAAAACAAATAATTGAAGGATGATAAAATTAAATATTTTTATTTGAATAGAAATTCAATAATACTTAAACTTTAATATTGAACTTTTAAAATTTACTGTCTTTTAAAACAGTCAAATGAACAAAAAAAAAAAAGTGCTCAAATAAATTACATAAAATTTAATTTATAAATATTTTTTAGACACTTGAAAGCCAGTATAATCATACCTAACTTCTCCATTTCTCAAAATTAACAAGCATATTAAAATATTCAAAATAGCTGGTGGGGCACTCGTGAGTGAGAGATTATTGCATATGAGCATCTTTCTTTCTTTCTTTTTTTTGATAAATTCTTGTAGAGCATCTTTTTAGTACTCTAAATTTAGGTACTTTTTTTGTTAAAAGTAGGACAAAATCAGATTCATATGAAATTAATTATAAAGAGATATGTAGAATAAATGTAAGTAGGTAGGTTATTATTTTCTAACTTTGATAAATGATGTATCGAAACTTTGTTATATAAGTGCTGAAAATGTTTTCAGTAGGCCACGCTTACATATATAGTCAATTTGTTTTTATGTACATACTCAATATTTTATGAAAAAATATTTTCTCATATTGCATGGGAATTCAATTATTATATTGTAATATTTTTATTTGCGTGCAAAAATTTTCTTTTCTTTTTCTCTTTTTAATAAATGTGGGGCCCATCATTAGTTGAGTCACAATATGAGAATTCAATTCTCAAGCAACATGAGAAAATCAAACCCCATATTTTATCATATTAAACTACTGTTGGAACTTATAACCTTTTACTTTGTTTATTTATATGCAATATGAAATTCGTTTCATTAAAATTCCAAAACTAATATTTTTATCGTTTTTAAAAAATTTAAATTTTTTATTTAATTTATTAAATTTTTTTGCCGCATATAATTTTTTTTTTTGCTATCATATTTCTAACCTTTTAATTTTTTTATCTTCTATATTTATTTTCTAAATTTTTTAATCAAATAATAAATAAAGGTACATTAATTTTTAATAAATTAGAAAAAATTTATTACATATATTGATCTTAATTAATATATCTAGATATAAAACTGATTGATCGCGATGGGTAAAAATAAAATTCCTAAATTGGACAGTTCACACATGGGTTAGTCTTGTATAATATAAAAACAATAAGTTTGGACAAGTTGTAAAGCTTCAATAATAAACATATTATGACATTTCACATATTCATATACAGTTCCAAGTTGTAAAGCTTCAGCAAGTTAGATCTGGCTAGAGGACTCAATAGTATAAGAGGAGATTAACTTCTGAAGATCCTGGTCAGGAGAAGCTATAATCTATCTTGTTTCTTGGGTACATTGATTATAGCTTCTTCTGACCAGGATCTTCAGAAGTTGATCTTCTCTGATGCTATTGGGTCCTCTAGCCAGAGTTGACTTGTTGTCCCAGATTAGTTTATCTGTTCTGTTTTTTCTTTTCTTTTGGGGCCTTGCCCCTTTGTTGCACAAAAAAAAAAACATATTATGACATTTCAGATATTCATATAAATATTGTAATCTTTGTACAGATATGCATAGAACATGATTTAATCTTTGGTTTCTTTTATATATATATATATATATATATATATATATATATATATATATATATATATATTGGAAAAATATTTCTGCAGCCACTTTAGATAAGGTTGTCTACAGCTACCCTTTTTAACTAAGTACGACCGGTCGTACATTAAAAATGCATTTTCTCTCTCCGTCACGTCAGACGACAGTGTCTGAGGAGAGAAAAAAAAAGAACAGCTTTATTGTTATAACTAAGTACGACCGGTCGTACTTAGTTAAAAATAGTAGATGTAGATAACCTTATTTAAAGTGACTGTAGAAATACTTTTTCTATATATATATATATATTAGAAAAAGATAACTTATACTCAATTTTTGTTATTAATTATGTTTAGTTCAAATGATTATTAAAATATAATTTAAATATAAATAAATCAACTATTAAGACTGGAGATAATATTTATATCGATATAAATTAATTGTATACATACAACTTTAGAATAAATATTTTGCCGTTTTGTTCTTTTATTACTAAAAAAAGCAATAACATAAAGGGGTTGCTTATATATAAGGCATTTGGGTAAGTAGTTCTATTCCCCAATCTCTAGTAAAAAAATTAGTTTTTGCTATAAACGGGCATTTAGATATGTCAGAGATTTTTATTTTTTATTTTAAATAGCAACTTTTTGTAAACGCATTCTCATTGCTTTGGATGTCATTAAATGTGCTGGACTTAATGTGTCACATGATGACCATGAGGGGATGTTCGTCATTTGCTTTTATTGTCGAACATATGTATGGATTCCTTGATCGTTCTTTTTGTTTATTTTATTTTGGAAATCATTCTCTTATTTTATGTGAGATATTATTTTATATTTTTCTCACATAAAAAATTGTATCATTATTTTTTCTTTTTAATAGATAATAAAATTCACTATATCATGTGTTTATAGTAAAAAATAGTTATCGCCAATAACATGAAAAATATAATCCTTTTATTTTATTTTATGGCATAAACTATACAGGATAAAAGGAATATAAATTTACCAACATCCGTTACTCAAGGTGCAACCGATGAATATTATATATATACTTGGCGTATGGTGGAAGGAGATGTTGGGGCTGATGGGCTAATATAAATGTAGGGAAAATATTTTCTCCTACTAAAGACACATAGTATAAGTGGGGCCTACAAAATAGTGGAGAGAGAGAAAAATTCAAAGTGGGACCCATTTATGCTATAAGTCTTTGGTAGGAGAAAATGTTTTCCCATAAATGTAATATCTCTTAATATATTTATGGGTTTTATATTTGTTATGCTACATAACATAACTCTATTTTCTTACACACACATCAAAAAGAGGTGAAATTTATATATTTTTCTCTTTTTTTATCGTTTTATTTTCTCTCTTTTATTATATGTAGGTAAATATAATTATATAATGTAACATAACAAATATAAAACACTATATTTATTGTTGAAGACTTATAAGTCATTCAAGCTTCTTCTTTGTATATTGAAGAAGTACCACATATTGAGCAATTCATCATTGCATTAAGTTGTTGATAAAAGTTGTTTTCAGCTTAAGTTTATGTCATTCCAGGATAAGGGCTCGTTTGGATGGGCTTTTTTTTCTTCAAAAGCTGCTTTTTTTCTTAAAAAAAAGCACTTCTCATTTTTAGTTCGTTTGGATGTCTACTTTTAAAAAAAAACAAAAGTCACAAAAAAGCCAAAAATCTACTTTTTTCAAAAGCTAAAAATTTTAACTTCTACAAAAAACAGAAGTCAAAAGCCAAATATTTTTTTCAAAAACTAAATATTTTTATAAAAATATAAAGGGAATAACATCTGTCATTTTAAAGGATATAAGCTTATATCATTTAAAAGGATAGATTTTTTCCCCAAATATAAATAGCTTAACTTTTGTAAAAAAACACTTTTAAAATAAGAAAGAAATAAAAGTCACTTTTTTTTAAAAGGTGAAACAAACAGGCTCTAAGCCTCATGACACGTGGGATAATATCTTGCACATATGACATGTCTCAGCTTTATATATATATATATATATATATATATATATATATATATGAGGTAGGATCCTTTGACACTGGTGTCAAATTTTAAATTTGACACCTCATCTGATAGTCATTAGATCAAAAAAGATCAACGACTCTGATTTGAAAGCATGTAACACCATTGATCTTTTTTGATCTAATGGCTCTCAGATGAAGTGTTAAATTTGAAACTTGACACTGATGTCAAAGGATCTTACCTCTATATATATATATATATATATATATATATATATATATATATATATATATATAGGCATGATATTTTT